CTGGCCAGTAGTTTGCAGCTGATTCTCTGGGTTTCTCCCTTTTTATTGCCTCTTGATTGATCTGCAGACTAAACAGTCCTCAATGCACAGGATGCAATTCAGCAGCATGATCAACTGTTCTGGTTTAATGGAAAATCACATAATATTTGGTACCTTTCTGAAAGCTCAGGTTCCAGAAGAGAGGTGATTATTTGAGAATTCTGGGTTTTGGCCTGCTTGATATCCCATGAGAGAAGCTGGAAGATGTGAATTCTAAAGCTTCAAGCACCAGAAAGGAAATATTCAGATGCCAAAGTTCATTGTAAAAATACCATGATTTTAAAGCCAAACATTTTGAACACATGGGAGCAACAACACTGTGATTGCTTTGTATAAGGGGAAACTGAGATCTGCAGGAATACAGACCTGCCCCTTAAGAGTCTTCATACACAGAAGGAACAAGGGAGAACTCAGATATATTACCAGGGAGGAAAAAAAGAAGGCAGAGGAACAGACAGATCAAGAATAAATTGATGTATGGATAGGGGATGAACTTCCCCAAGGCGCAGAATATCAGGACAAGGCTGATGCACCATTTAAGTCTCAGTGAATCCTGGCACATCACTTACCATCATAGTGCCTCAGTTTCCTTTTTCTAAGATGTGGATAATGATACTGCCCTCTCACTTTAAAGTACTATGGGTAAAAAGCACTATCTCAGACCTAGGAACTAATGAGTGGTGCATGATAGGCCTGTGCAAGTAGGCAGCTATTCAATCCAGCTTTGGATCTGGCTGCTTCAGATGCCAGGGATCTGATCCGGAGCTCCAGACCGGGTTCCTGCTTCGGTCTGGTCGAAGTGGCTCTGAAACTTCGGAGCCACCTTGGAGATCCGGCCATAGGGTATAATGGGGAATCAATCAAATATCCATAACTTTGTTGTTTCTTGTCTGATTTGGATGAACCTTTCAGGAGTGGTAGCCTCTGCTAAGGGCATGAAGCCTGCTGAGGTTCAAGGAGATAGATGCAGGGGTTTGGGGGAAACTGCACCCCAAATTCTTGACAGCAAAACTCATGTCGTGTGTATGTGTTATGCCATAGTGGGGAGAAAATGGCAGGGGTGGTGGCCCCTGCTGAGGTCACAAAGCTTGCCAAGTTTCAAGAAGATCAGTGCAGGGGTTTGGGGGAAACTGCACCCCAAATTCTTGAAAGCAAAACTCATGTCACGTCTATGTATTACACCACAGTGGGGTAAAAACTGCAGGGATGGTAGCTCCTCATGAGGCTACAAAGCTTGCCAAGTTTCAAGAAGATTGGTGCAGGGGTTTGGGGGGAACTGCATCTCAAGCTGCTGACAGGCAAAACTCGTGACATAGATGACCCCATATGTGTTAAGGCAGGTGCAGTGGGCTGAAAACTGCAGGGGTGGTGGCCCTTACTGAGGCCATGAAGCCTGCCAAGTTTCAAGAAGATAAGTGCAGGGGTTTGGGGGAAACTGCACCTCAAGCTGCAGACAAGCAAAACTCGTGACATGGGTGACCCTGTGTGTGTTAAGGTGCAGCAAGGTGAAAGCTGCAGGGATGGTGGCCCCTGCTGAGGCCATGAAGCCTGCCAGCTGTCAAGGAGATCGGTGCAGGGGTTCTGGGGCCCTGCACCGCTAGCTGTTGACAGTCAAAACTGGTGACATGGTGCTTGTGCAACTGGCTGTCTGTCCTGGGGCAGTTGATTGTCTGCATTGATTCTTTCCTCTCCTAAGTCTGTGGTTTTGTAGGTATTAATTGCTGCTAATAAACCGGTTACATTAGCAACTGTGTATTGAGCTGGTCCCTGAGTGAATCATGATTGATTGGTAACTGGTAACACAGTAACTTAGCAGCCAGGCCTGCAGTAGTTCCCCCCACCTCCCCCACCGCCATGTTGTAACACATAGACGGGACATGAGTTTTGCTTTCAAGAATTTGGGGTGCAGTTCCCCCCAAACTCCTGCACCTATCACCTTGAAACTTGTCAGGCTTTATGGCCTTACCAGGGGCTACCACTCCTGCAGTTTTCACCCCCTGTGGTGTAACACATAGATGTGACACGAGTTTTCTTTCAAGAATTTGGGGTGCAGTTTCTCTCAAACCACTGCATCAATATTCATGAAACTTGGCAGACTTCATGCACTCAGCAGAGGCTACCAACCCTGAAAGTTTCATCCAAATCGGACAAAAAACAACAAAGTTATAGATATTTCATTGATTCCCCATTATACCCTATGGCCGGATCTCCAAGGCAGCTCTGAAGCTTTTCCGAAGTGCTTCAAAAGATCCAAACCACTTCGGAAAAGCTAACAAAGCCAGTGCTTTGATATGAACATGCTGCTTCGGATGCCAAAGCATCCAAAGCTTCTCTGGATCCGAAGCATGATCCGAAGCCTCACACAGCCCTTGTGCATGACTGCTGGCTCTCAGCAGGGTTTAAATGGACGTAGGCCATGTATTCTTCGTTTGCACAGTACCAAATATCTTCCAGAGTCACTACTGTAAGAGGCAGGAAGCAGGGGTAAACTCAGGTAGAAGAGAATCATCTGATTTTGGCTCTCTCTTTAGTCAGGCTCCTTTCTGAACCTATAATGACGTGGCCACTTCCACATGAAAATCTCTAGAAACCTAGGTCTGTTCCCTGCTTAGTTTTCATCACAACTGGGAAGGAACATCTGATATTCTGAGGCCCAGACTCGAGACAGGCTCACAGACAGGCTCTCACAGCTGCCCAAGCCAAGGCCTCTCTGGACTTCCTATATCTCTTTTGACAGAAATAAAACACTTCTTATTTATTTTTCTGATGAATGTAAACATAAGACTTCTTGAAGGCTGGTTCCAGTGAAAAGGGATCTTTAGCTCACCCAGGGACTTTCCCACCCACCTAACTTCATGGCTGTAAACAAATGTTCACTTCTTCCCCTGCAATGAGTTATCTGAGAAACACAAAACTAATTAGTAGTTGACATTTGTATGGGAATGCTACAGGTGTGGGGAAGGGTAAGTGAGGCAGGAGGGTGGAGCCTGTTTTTCAGGGCCCATGGGTCAATCCTCAGTTGGTGTAAAGTGGTATAGATCCATGAAAATTCATGGGATTATACAGCTTCATGACTGGCAAAGTCTGGCTCGATCTGTTTTGATTATTTCCCTAAATCATCTCACATCTGCTGCCCTAAAATCAAACAAGCCCCCCATGCTGGGCTGATCGATGCCCTCCTTGCTGGCACTGGGTGAGGGGCAGGTTTTAGCTCTCACTTTTGGACTTCTATATTGAACTTGGTGTATTATATCACAGGATGGCCTGATAAAGGGGGAATGGTCCAAGGAAGGGCTCTAACATGGTTTATGTCATTCCTTGAAGTCCTCACCCAGATGGTAGTGGGGAAAGTTGCACCTTGGCAACCAGGTCCATCAACTTGTGGAGTCCTGAAAAGCTGCTCCCACTCTGATCCTGCAGATTAGTCCTGCAGACCAGCGATGCTCAACCTATGGCCCAGTGATGCTCAACCTATGGTCTATGGCCTACTGGCCCACAGCACTCCCCATGGGTCAGCTGCCATGGCCTTATACATCAGCTCACACTAGTGTGTGGGACCTAGGCCTGGTGTGCAGGACTGGGCCATGGACAGATCCAGCATGAAGGACTGAGCTGGCAAGTAGGGTTTTCTATGCATGGATCCACTGAGATGTCCCTGTGCTGGATCCAGCCCATAAACCAGCCCCATGCCATTTATCTCCAATGGGCTAGAAAGGTTTATTACCACTGGCCTAGACTCAACTAGACCTAGTTACTAACTGTGCAACTGACACACAGCTCTTCCTGTTCCTCACAACCTAACACCATGTCATCTAGTCACACAGCACCTATCCATTAGCAGCACAAGGAAAAGGAAGAGCTGAGTAATGCCAAAGGGTGATTAGGCCTTAGGCAGGAAGAGGCATTCCAAAGAGATTGCAGCAATCAGTGCAGTCTCCACGTTCCAGCAGGTATACCCATAAACCATTCAAACAGCTCATAGGGGGATTTCTGCTCTCCTTACAAAGGCTGACCTCTCACAGAACTAGACCCATGAACTGTGAGTTCTACCATCTCTGGGCTGGGTAAAACAAGTCTGGGGCAGTGGAATTTTTGAGACACTAGTGTAGCTAGTACCTGTCATATGGTTCACCCTCTGACACAAGGATCTGAGACTGAGCCTGGTGAGATCTTTCCTTTATTTTTGTGACAAGGATATTTTCACATCGTGGATTGTCAGCCTCAGGCTCAATCCCCAGATCTGGATGGGAGGGAGACTACTTCATGTATAGCTTCAGCTTTGTGATCTGTCCAGCATGGGTGTCTTTGCTAGAAGCAGAAGTCCAAGTGTGATAGCTCATTAGCTGTAGAAAAATCACACAAGAAAAACATTTAGGAGCCTGATGGGGGATCATCTTGCTATCACTCCCAGGGAAGCATCACAAATTGATCTCACCGATGTTTCCACTATAAATTTTAAGCATTTATGGTGTGATAAGGAGTATAGGCATCTACTTGCTTGGCCTTTGTGCCCCCAGAAAATTTTTTATGGAAGCACAAAGAAAACACCTGTTTTGACCCTTAGGGTTCCTTTAGAAGTGCCAGAAGGCTGCCCTGATGCACTGTAATTACAGCCTGTCAGAGCAGACTTGATTCAAGTCTGCTGCAACATACTAATTAATGGGCTCCAGCCAGCCTTTGGTCTGCCTTCAAAATGGTGGCGGGGGTGCTTTAACTAAAGGTCATCAAACAAGCTTTAGTTAAAGTGCCCTCCCCCCACCATTTTGAAGTGCAGTGAGGTTGATACCTAAGATGTGGTAGGCACTTTAATTAGAGTGGCTCTTGGAGTCCCCCTGCATACCCCACCTTGAGCATCTGTAAAAATGCTCTTAGAGACCAATGGCTTGAACAAAATCAAAGCAACTGGCCCAGGTTGAGGTTGGTTGGCAATCACTGACCTCTGCTTATATATTTTTTGGTAGGAGGAGGAGAAGAACACTGCCTCTGGTTGGCAGGGAGACCTGGCTTCTACCCCCACCATCTGCATCTCTGCACCAAGGTAGCTGAAGTGTTGACACATCTTTGTTGGTGCGACACACTGATTCTTCTGTGAATCTTGTTAACTGAGTGATTTTTATCCTATGGACATCACCAGTGCTCCAAGAAGCAATACAAAGTAGCCCCTCTGGTCAACACAATAGACAGTGTGGGGTGTGACAGCTGAAAAGTATGTCTGTGTGATAAAGGTTCTTGCTGAAGGCTCTATGAAGATTAGACCAAGTGTTTTTCTGTATTTGTTTAGATATTAAGCTATATGTTGTTGCTAAGAGCCTAATTAAAGTTTAAGATGTAGTAAGGCCTTGTATAGGCAAAGCCATTTTGTACGGTGGAGAGCAAAGCCATTTTATACTGTGCTGTCCCGCTTCATTGAAACTCCTAGCCCTGAGAAGAGAAAATTTCAGATCCTCTAATGAGCTCTTTGTAGCCCTCACTCACTGATGACCCCAGGATGCTTGTATAAAGTAAGGCCTAGTAAATTTAGCAAAGCCTTGAAGTAGTAAGGCCCTGTGACATAGTTAAAATTACCTTATCAAAGGAATGCAAGGCTTGTACTGCTATTGGTCAGTCTAAGGACAGTTGAAGTAAAAAGAATCTGAGTGGCTGTATGTTATCAGTACCATTCAGAAGCTATAAATTGGCTGGAATATCCAGAAATCATTCTGAAGGAAGATAGCGCTCTGTGAAAAGGATTAGTTAGCTGTTGGCCTGGATCCGTGGGCCCGTAGACCTTGAGGAGCCCAAGGTTAAGTCAATAAACCTTTCTTACCTTTCTATCCCCGGCCATACTCTCAATCCCAAACCCTCCACAGGCGGCTGGGACAAGAGGGGTGGGGGGCAAAAAATATTGCTGCTGCTGGCAGTCATGTGATGACAATGGTGACTGTAGCATTGCTGCTGCCCTTGTGCTTTGGGAGCCGAGCCATGTCTCTTCGCTGCTGAAAACAGACAGAATACAGGTGAGGAGAGAGGAGGGATGTGCTCTCTGAGATTTGCTCTCTATAATGAAAAGATCCTTGCAATGTCTACAGTCCTCATTGGGGCCTA